TCATTTTTAAATAAAATGCCTATCTTTGACTCAAATTAAGTGAAAATTTGTTCACATAGGTAAAAACTGATGATGAATTTAATAGGCACACTTTCTGGATCGTCGGAGAGTATTCAATGTGTCTCTGGAAATTCTTCTTTGAAAATCATAGTATAAACAGAAATAGTGATAGTATGCGTGTTTCTTTCTATAAGATAATTTCTTTTGTAGCTGGACTAAGTTAATTTAGTATGCCTGGAACTAGTAAAAGGAAAAGTCAGTTATATGCTGCAAGAGCTTGCCGCGGGACAAATGTACCGATTTTGGATTCAAGCGACTCGTCCAGTGATGAATATCGAACGGATTTTGATGATGAAGAATTATATTTCAAAGACAAACTTTTGCTAACTGATATTGGTGATCTTGCTGAAATGTGCAATACGGAATGTGACACCAAATATCTTAGCACGTTGCTTTATAGGTCATTACGTTTCTTCAACATTAAATGGGAAGATGCCAACGATTCTCTGAAGAACATTGGTCTTATGACGGCAGAAACCTCTCATAAATGAACAACAGTGTTTATCAGAGGAGATTATGAAGAGTTTTCAAATGATTTACGTGATGGTAAACAGACTGACTGGTTCTATGACACATTTCCCAAGATTGAAGTAGATGCTAGAGTATTCGTTGTTCAAGCATGTTCTCAAAAATCAGCGGAGTTTAAAGCAGCGGACCTGGCCCAGTTCATTGATACGAAATATTATGAATTGACGGGAATTAAAAAACAAACAGGGGATGATTTGATAAGATCGGAAAGAAATTGTCGTCTGGATCTCCATAGATGGGGAGCTAAATTCGAAGCGAACTCACAACGTCCGTATTTTGAAGGACATGAAAGAGATGATGTTGTGAAATATCGTAATGAATTTATTAATTATTTCCTAACACGTGAGGATTTTTATTACACAATTACTGATGGTGACACACCAATGTGGAATATAGCGACTCAAAATCCTCATAGAATACATATATGTAAGTGCAGCAATTGAAGCTTCTTTAACATAATTGGTATTATGCTCCTTTTTATATTTATCTTTACTAGTTCACGATGAATCAACCTTTAGAAGTGGTGGAGTTAGTCCAAAACGATGGTTTTTCAAAGAGACTATACCGTTTTTATTTCGAAAAGACGTGGCCGAAGCCATATGGTATCTAATTTTCTTGTTGAACATCCGAGTGGACCCTTTTTTGAACTTAGTGAAGATGAATGGAAACAAGCGGTTGCAAAATATAAAAAATTAACCGTCGATAGTGATGTTGACTATCTCAGTCGAACAGCAACAGCTAGTATCAATATCGGAACAGACGCTTATTTTGATAATGATACAATTTTAAGTCAGTTTGAAAGGCTCTTTCAAATGCTAGGATTCAAACAAGCATATAAGGGCCATCAGATAGAAATCATCGTGAACAACGCAAGGGCCCACATTACTAAAGTGTATTCGTTACAAGATTTTCGTAAAAGTATTGATGGTCAGTGTCCGACTGGAAAAAATTGAGTATGTCGATGGAAATGGTGTCAGACAAGTTACTGATCATTATTTTAAACAGAGTCCACACAAAGGTTAATCAAAAGGTTTAGTTGAAATATGTAAAGATTTACGTGGAAAATTACCGTATAAAGTTAAACTAGCGGAAATTCATGAAAAACTTGCAAAACATCCAGCTTTTCGGAAGGTAAGTCAAATTAATTCTATATTCTGAAACGTATTCTGTTCTGTATAATCTACTCTATTTTATAGGTTACAAAACTAGAGATGTTGGCGAGGAAATACAATATGAAGATTATATACTGTCCTAAATATCATTGTGAACTAAATGTAATTTAAGGTCTTTGGTGCAATCAAAAGGCATTTGTTCGTTCACATACAGATCAAAGTTTTGGCAAAATGATAAGATTAATAGCGGATTCTCGTACACATTTTGTCGAACGAAATATAGCATTAAAGTTATTCCGACGCTTCTGACGTTCAATCGAAGCATATTCTCAAGGTCAAACATATGTTGACGTGTTACAACTGTTTTTCAGTCAACTTTGCAAAACATCAGTTCAATCGCATCGTCGAATATCAAACAGAAACATAAACCAATCTTAATAAACATTCTTTTTTGCTATTTTAATACTTTTATTTAGGGTACCTCCCCTCATATTACATAGCCAAGCATAATGAGTGATTAATTTATCTATTAAAGGGCATAAAATATCGATTAATATCACAATACTATGATTTTTTAAGAAGGATTTCCAGAGACACATTGGAGATCCTCCGAAGATCCAGAAAGTGTGCCTATTGAATTCATCATCAATTTTTACCTATGTGAACAAATTT